TATCTAATCTTAGATTGAAAAGCTATAGGTAACTTGGAAATTACCGTGACCGAATAAAAACTGAGATACTTTAAAATTAATAAAGAGGAAAGACTTGGAATGCAGTCTATGGTAAATAGAATGAAAAAACGTTCTGTCCCCAGCATTACAAAATGAAATATACTTTTCATTCCACTTAGATAAAAGATTCTTATGATAAAAAGACAATAGCTCTTTAGAATGCTAATATTAACACCGATGGACAAATTTAAAGTATCTTTAGCTAAGAAATCAGTTCTTTCATTTCCATAGAATCCATAACCACGCACATAAGCAACACGAATATCAGTTTCCCTGCTTCTAAGCGAACTAACAGCTAACAGAGTTTCAATTACTAGTTTTTCGCTGCTGATAATACTGTTCAAAAGGTACAAATCTAATGAAACTTTCATTTTACTATGCTTTTAAACAAAATATACAACAAAATAATAAGTAATAATAAATAAATTTGCATGTTAAAAAAGTATTGGCAAAAAACATTGGCACACAGCATAAATGTGGGAACAAAATTTAATACTTTTTATTCATACCTTTTGCATTTATAACAGCTTGTAATGTATTTCTTATAGAGAAAACCAAAGTCTAGTTTGTACTATTGGGAATTCTGTGCCATTCTAGCAAGAGTATAAGCTTAAGTTCATCTTTACAAGAAATTCTATGTTTCCTGACTTCTAGGTTCAATTTATACCATAAATTTTCAATTGGATTTATGCCAGGCGATTGAGGTGGTGTCTTTAACTGGCGAGGATCGTTATAGAGTAACCACTCCAGGGTGAGATTCGCTATATACTTAGGGTCATTGTCTTGTTGAAACACGAATGATATTCCTAAGCCAAGTTTTTGGGCTCTGAATTTCAGGTTATGGCGCAATATGTCAATGTACTTACGTGCCGTCATAATACCATCAATGAAGCACAGGTTACCAACTCCGCTTTGGCTGCCATACAGCCCCAGACTATGACGCTCCTTCCACCACGTTTCACGGTTGGAGTTAAATGTTGTTTTCCCATTTCGGTGTTTGACTTTCTCCACACATATTGTCGTCCATCCCTCCCGAAAATGTTAAACTTCAATTCGTCGGAGAAAATAATTGTGTTCCAAAACTCGTCCGGTAAATTAACTTGAGATTTTGCAAAATCTAATCTCTTTCTTCTGTTTGTTTCTGAAATGAAAGGTTTCTTTCTAGCTGCTTTTCCATAATAACTTCCTTCATGTAAAACATTCCGTATAATCTGTCCACTAAAAGTTTTATGCGAAGTATTAGCAATATCTTTGGCTAACTGGGGTACACTTATTTTAGGGTTTCTCTTAAAGTCTTTGATAATGCAACTCTTTTCCCTTGCAGAAAATATGTGAAGCCGTCCACTTCTAATCTTATTTTTCGTCCATCCTGTCTTGTTGAACTTTTTTACACTACTTCTGTAGCATCTGATTTCGAGAGTATCAGTACTCTTATACCCGAGAACCTTTGTGAACGAGAGTAGAGTAGAATGTAATGTAACTGCGTAAATAGCGCATCGCTGCTGTCTTATGAGTTATAAATAAATGTTTGTGCCGTGAACTAGTCTGTTTTGGTTGCGTCATGCACTTCACTGAACCCACACCGTTAGACACAACATATTGGCGAAGAGGCTGTGTGAGGAAAATCGTTCCCGACTCGGCGCACTCGGTTACACGCGTCATGGAGGTAGGAAGTAACCTACCTCCATGACACGCGTAAGTAGTAACAAAACCGAAACCTGGATTAGGGGATTCCCCGAAAATTCCAAAAAGGTAGGAAAGTTATTTGATTTTTATTTTGAAAGGATGGAGAAGTTAATTGAAGAATTAATAAAGCAAAAAAGCTTTAATGGTCGCATTGCAAGAGAAATCGAAACATAAACAAGACAAAATTTCTATTTCTTTTGATAAGTTCGATGAAACGGTAGTAGAAAATTTTGATTCGTTCATAGAACGATTTGAGGCTTTTTTGGACATTCAAAATGTTCCAGAGGCAAAACGTGGGAAAGTTCTGATCTCAAGCTTGAATGCGAAATTGTATAATTTGTTGAAAAATTTACTCTCTCCGGATAATCCTTCAGATAAAAATTTTACCGAACTAAAAAAGGTTCTTAAGGATCATTTAATAATACCTAGTCGGCACTTAGTAATACCTAGTTGTTTAATAATACCTAGTCGGCACATGTTTATTAATAGAAAACAGCATGAGGGGGAATCAATTAGTAGTTATGTCACTGAATTACGTTCGTTAGCGATTCCTTGTGAATATAAAGAGGATATGCTAAATACAATGTTAAGGGATGTTTTCATTAGCGGTCTACGAGATTGTGATATCTTAGATCGATTATTTCAGGAAGATGATATCGATTTAGAGAAAACATTAAAGATAGCCTTGGCGATGGAAAAGGCGGTTAAGGGTGCAAATGAGAGATTATAGGAAATTCCGTAGAACTAAAAGTACTTAAAACCAAGAAAAATGAGTCCAAACCGCGGAAACAAAACTTTGTTGCTAAGAATAATAAAGGTAAAAATGAAACTTGTTCGCGTTGCTTAGGAGCAAATCACAATAAAAACAACTGTATATTTGCAACAAGTGAATGCCGCTTTTGTAAAAAAATTGGACATATCGAAAAGGCGTGTTATTTGTCTAGGAAAAACCTGACAGGTTAAACAAAAGAAAGTTGAGGCAAATAATGATTATGATTCGAAAAATGAGGTCCCCATCTATGGATTTAGCTCCAGAACGCACATGTTAAGAGAGGAAGAGCCGAAAAGACCGCCAATAATGGTTCAAGTTAAAATTGAAAACAAACCAGTTAGCATGGAACTTGATACTGGGGGAACAGTTTCGGTAATGTCTATAAATAAATTTAGAAAAATTTCCAATAAAAAGATTCAGCCTACAAATTTAGTTTTTAAAACTTACAGGGGTGATAAAGTGGTACCTTTAGGATATGTTCCTGTTAAAGTTGAATACCAAGGTCAAAAATTAGTTTTAAATTTATACATTGTGAAGGAAAATTTGGACACAATCTTCGGCCGAGAATGGCTGTATAAAATCAATCTCGATTGGAATGCCATCAAAACATTGAAAACTTTTAGTGAATTGAATTTTAAAAAAATTGCTTGAGGAGTATAAGGAAATTTTTTATGGTAAATTAGGTGAAATTAACAATCACGAAGTAAAACTAAATTTGAAACCTAATACTCAACCAATATTTTGTAGGTCACGACCGGTACCTTTCGCATTAAAAAATAGAGTTGAATCAGAAATTGATCGGCTTGAGAAAGAAGGTATCATTGAGAGGGTTGAGACTTCAGAATGGGCAACACCAGTTGTGCCAATTGTTAAATCTGATGGTTCCATTAGGCTTTGTGCTGATTATTCTGTGACTCTGAATCCTAATTTGGAAGTGCCACAGCATCTATTACCAAAACTCGAAGAAATATTTTCATGCCTTAATGGAAAGTAAAAATTTTTTGAAACTTGATTTCAGTCATGCTTATCTACAAATGAAGGTGCATCCGGAGAGCCAACGATTATTAATAATAAACACGCATAAGGGGTTGTATATTTGTAAACGCTTAATGTATGGATTAAATGCTGCCCCAGCTATTTGGCAGCGCTATGTTGAGGGATTATTTCAGGGGATCGAAGGAATTAAAATTTTTTTATGGATGATGCTCTAGTGACAGGACCGGATGATCAGTCTCATTTAAAAGCATAGGAAATATTTTTCAAAAAAATGCAAGGAGCACGGGCTAAAATTAAACTTAACTAAAAGTAAATTTTTTCAAAATGAGATTAAATTTTTAGGGCATAAAATTGATGCCAATGGATTGCATAAAACGGATGATGAAAAGATTTCGGCAATTGCTAATGCTCCTACGCCGAAAGGCGTCCAAGACATCAAAAGCTTTTTGGGATTAGTGAATTTTTATGCCAAATTTTGCCCTAATTTGGCAACTTTGGCACATCCCTTAAATAATTAAAAAAAAAAAAAAAAAAGATGTTAAATGGAGTTGGTCAAAAAACTGCCAAATCGCTTTTGAAAAAATAAAAAAGGAAATTTGTTCAGACAGAGTTTTAATGCATTACGATCCCACATTACCGTTAATGCTAGCTACTGATGCATCTCCGGTAGGTCTTGGGGCAGGGCAGTACTCTCGCATGTTTTGTCTGATGGAACAGAAAGGCCTATAGCATTCGCATCGAGGACACTGACTAACACAGAGCAGAAATACGCCCAAATCGATAAAGAAGCTCTGTCAATTGTTTGGGTTGTCAAAATGTTTTATGTATATCTAAAGGGGAGACGATTTTCTCTGGTGACAGATCATAAATATTTAGTGGCTATTTTCAAACCGAAAAGAGGACTTTCTATCCTCACAGCCACCCGACTTTTACATTATGCACTGATATTGCAGGCATATCAGTTTGATATTGTGTATCGAAATACAAGGAACACGGTAATGCTGACTGCCTGTCGCGCTTGCCTCTTAAGTCCGAAGATTTAAGCATTAAGGATGATGTTGAAATATTCCAACTCTCCCAAATTGAAACTCTTCCTGTAACAGCTAGGGAGATAGCTCGAAAAACACAAGCTGATGAAGAATTAAATCGTCTTTATATGAAATTAAAATCTGGAGAAAGTTTGGAAGGTAGGGAAGCCGAGAAAACCTGTGATACTTCTTTGGCAATATGAAGCAACTCCAATGATGGAACACAGAAAAAACTTTATTTAGCATTCAAAAAGGCGACGTACAAAACAAGAAGAAAAAAGAATTCTAACATTTTAAAATAAATTACATTCTTCGTGCGAGAGTCGCACGTGGCACTCGAGTCTGGTTTCAAATATTGCCATTCACAAATACCTTAATGTCCATCTATTTAAATTATTTAAACTACAAGATTTTAATAATATTTAAAGCTGTTACACACCTTACAAGATGACTGTATAATGAGTGGTCAGAGGGTAGTTGTTCCGAAAAAACTCCGAGTTAAAATTCTCGAAGAGTTACACCAAGGACATTTAGGAATCGTTAAAATGAAGGCAATCGCCAGATCCTACGTCTTTTGGAAGGGAATTGATCATGATATTGAAGAAGTTTCTAGGAACTGTGTCGATTGTATTAAGTTCAAATCAGATCCAGTAAGGGCAAGGGTCCATCACTGGGAATATCCAAGTGCGCCTTGGGAACGCATTCACGTAGATTTTGCAGGCCCTATTTTTGAACGAATGTTCTTGATTATCATTGACGCACATTCTAAATGGCTAGAAGTGTATACCTTAAAGTCAACAAATTCCTTTCAGACAATTGAATGTTTGAGAGACTGTTTTGCAAGATACGGACTGCCTTTAGTAGTAGTGAGTGACAATGGTCCTCAGTTCACATCGGGGGAATTTGAAACTTTTATAAGGAATAATGGAATTAAACACAAAACGTGTGCTCCATTTAAACCGGCAAGTAACGGGCAAGCAGAGCGGTACGTTTACACCGTTAAACAAGCATTACGTGCAATGCAAGGTTATCCAGGAAATATTAAGCAAAAACTTGCCATATTCCTCATGAATTATAGAAAGGCACCGAACATGACAACCTTGTTAAGTCCAGCAATGTTATTCTTAAAAAGAGAAATTAGAACTCGAATTGATTTAGTTGTTCCAAATCTTAAACGAAGAGTGGAAGAACGCATCCGAAGGAATACTTATGATTTCAAAGACAGAAATTTTGAGATCGGAGAAAGGTTGCCATTCGGGATTACAGATCGGCAAATTCCCGATCGAAAATTGGCAGAGTGACAAATAAGGATGGAGCTGCATTATACATTGACGTTCAAGGAACGTTACTGCGCCGGCACGTCGATCAGATCAGATCGGGAGGGAGCGAGGTTCCATCTGCACCGGTAATTTATGAACCTCGTATGACTGCTACTTCAGATGGCAACGCGAAGCCACAAGGACATCGAACAAAGAAGTGAAGCTGTGCAAACTTCAGCCTGACTTGAAACATCGTCAGTTCCAATGAAAACTGAGTCAGTCATTCCAGTGAATCCTGATAAAAAGTTGCAGCAATCCCAGCCCAAACTTAGACGATCTTCGCGCATCCTCAAAGATCCTCAGAGATTGAATCTCTAAATAAGTGGGGAGGGATGTAGCATCTGATTTCGAGAGTATCAGTACTCTTATACTCGAGAACCTCTGTGAACGAGAGTAGAGTAGAGTAGAATGTAATGTAACTGCGTAAATAGCGCATCGCTGCTGTCTTATGAGTTAGTTAGAAATAAATGTTTGTGCCGTGAACTAGTCTGTTTTGGTTGCGTCATGCACTTCACTGAACCCACACCGCTAGACACAACAACTTCTAACAGTAAATAAACTTAACATTTAGTTGTATCCCTATAGCACGGTACTTAAACATCATTTATGATCTGAATAATCCTGCTTTTAACATTTACGTCCAATTCCTTCGAAGCCATTTTATCACAGAATTAGCAAAATAACGTTTTAAAAGAGCATTGCAGACTAACAGGGTTTCTTATCAGTCGAAACACATGACCTCAACATAACAAAATTTGCATAGCAGTTAGAACTTTGCCAATACTGTTTTGACATGCAAATTTACGTTTTTGTTGTATCTTTTGTGTAAAAGGCATATTGAAATTAAAGTTTCATTAGATTTGTGTCTTTATTACCTCCTGTGTTCGTTATGTCCAGATAAAATTTTCAAGCGTTTTCTCTGTTAGCTAAAAAATATGGTCAATGATAGGCAATTGCCAATACTCTTTTTACCCACTGTACTTCCTTTTTACTTCGTACAAGAAAGAAAAAAAAAAAAAAAAGACTGACTTTCGCCAGACAATATCAGAATTGGACAGTACAATAGCTGAGTGGGGTATCATTTTCCGATAAATCAAGTGTGCAGGAATTTTCTGCACGCGCTACAAATGTTTGTCGCCCAAAAAGAAAATATATGATGACAAGATACACGTGAAACATTTCGGCTATATATCCTCCAAACCAGATGATACGGAAAGCAATGTTTATGTCTGGTACTGCTACTCTCCTTTTCTGGTTACCTAACACCAATACCAACAGAAGTCGGAACCTTAATTTATTATGCGAGAAGTTGAAGAATATGGATGTTCAATTTTCATGCCTCATAAGCCTCTGTGCCACGGGTCAAGGACTGTTAAGGTAAGGTGATCAGACGTCCCGATTTTTAACAATTGGTCCCGCGACGTTTTAAAAAAGTCCCGATTTTTTGGAAAGAATGGACTATAAGCTATAGAACGGCGGGAGAATACTGTTTTCGGCGGCCATGTGGCTACTTCTCCAGGATATGTGTCTTATATTCTTTTTGTTAATTTTATAATGTTAAATTTTAATAATAACAGATAATTGTTAACAACTGATTATCGAGAACTACTTATCAAAGTTCGCATTGTTGATCAGCTGTTAGAATTCAACCACGTTGTTTGTACTTAATGGCATTTTTTGGCATTGACGAAAACATTTTGTAACTGTTTCTCAGACGATACACATCGTACTGCGTGCTAGTGCAACAAATCAGCTAATTAGATAATTTAGGTACGTAAATTATTTATTTATTTCACAAACACATAAATTTTCTTGAATTTAGCAGATAGTACTCTTATTATTTATATTTTACAGTGGCGGCAAAAGGTCTAGCGTCGGTCTTGAAAGTGACGCTTACGATTTACGTTACGGCAAATTCAGAGGAAAAAATAATACAAGTTAATACTGTTATTATTTAAAAAGAATTATAGGATTAGAATTTGATTGAATTCCTCTTCTGTTTTTGTTAATTTTTCTTTAAATTTCATAATTCTTAAAGATGGGTTTTGATTGCATGAAATGTTTTGGTTTTAAAATTTTTTAATTTATTGTTGCATTTCTACGATTATTTGAAAGTTATTAATTATGAATTTCAATTTCTGGTCTTTGTGAAATATTAGTTCTAAATTTCTTACTTTATGTCTTTTATAGTTTTTCTGCAGGTTAATGCGCGAAAATAACTAGGCATGTTAGTGTTTGGTTTCAAAAGAATTGTTTTGTACATTTTATAGGGGGACCGGAAAGTAATGTCGTTTCTGCGCATGTCACAACAACATGCTAAGGGAGAAGTGGAAGCAAATCCATATCAAACACTCTTAACCAACCTTGGTCGATCATCCAAGAACATTTAAAGCAGAATGGAAAAATAAGCAAAGCAGGTGTTTGAGCCCCCCATAATTTGTCCGAAAAGAACAAAGCCAAACTATCCATCACATGCAACGTATTGCTTCAACGGCACCATACAGAACCGTTTTTTGATTAGTGGAGACAAAAAAATAAGTCCTATATGATAATCCAAAACTCAAAAGGCAGTTTTAAAGGGGTTACGAAGGGTTACATCCCGAAAAGGCGCTTCTGGGTGTTTGATGGAGTATTCGCGGAATTGTTTCATTTTGAATTGCTGAAACCTGGAAAAACTGCAGGAAATCATGTAGACCTTTATTGTGAACAATTGGATCTAGTGAACCAATCTTTAATCGAAAATATCTGGCGATTGTCAACGGAAAAGGCGTCATTCTGCAACACGCCAATGCAAGACCGCACTGTGCAAGACGAACACTAGAAAAGAAAAATATAATGAATTGGGGTGGGAGGTACTGCCTCACCCACCATATTCGCCCGATATCGTACCCTCGGATTTCCATTTATTCCGATCCCTACAACATTTTCTTAGTGACAAAATATTTGAAAATTTGGATGATGTCCAAAATGCCATCTCGAGATAGTTTACTCAAAAACCAATTGATTTTTATCGGTCTGGGATTGAAATCGGCATACTAGATGGCAAAAGGTTGCTGATAACGAAGGTGATTATATCATTGATTAAAAATAAAAACTTGTTACAAATTTATTCGTTTGAATTTAATGCAAGAAAGCGACATTACTTTCCGGTCCCCCTATTATATACATATGTGTGTGTACATAAGTAGTATGCTGCTTTAATTTTATATTTACAAGTCCTGAGATAGAGAACGGTAAGCTTGCCGGCTGCCATATCAATGAGTCCAGGTTTTGAATCCCAGAAAAGGCTTAGGTGTCTGTAAGCGCATAATGCCTTTGCGGCATGGGGATATTTAAAACGGTAGGGTACGAACTGCGGCAAATTTGATCGAAAATCCCCGTCCCCCTCTTTTTTAATCCATGAACTGCGACGTTTCCTGTCCCACATTTCTTTCCAAGAAGATTGGGTGCTACAAAAAGTCGTTTATCGCCGCCATTAATGGGACATTCTATTGAGACTGCAAGCCTTTATTTTCTTTTATCAATATTGTAAAAATTGCGCATGTAAAACAAATATTAATTTAAAGTCTGGCGTGTGCTAAAAATAAATTTCTTTTACACTCATTTTAAAGTTTTATGATGCTTAAAGGAATGATGAGCCAGATCTTTTTTATTCTCCGTAAGAATTAAAAACTTTCCAAATTGCAGATTTTAGTCGCTGATATATATATCAGTTTTGAATAGTTAAAATTGATAGATTAATGACATACACAAAAACTGATACATAATCAACGTATCAAATATCGGATTTGTAGCTCACCTTAAATAAGTTTCTTGTCTAGATAAATATTAACAAATCTTCTTAGATAGCAGAATGGTTTTAACTTTCAAATTTACCATTTGAGGTAAAAGTTCTAATTTAATTATAAAAATTATCTATATTAAATCTAAAAATTGGACTTCTTAAGTCGTTCTAAATTCACACTAATATTATTGCAATATATTCCCGTATTAAGCTTTCCATTTTTAATCATTGAAGTTATTTTAAGGTTATTTAACTTTGTTACAAATTCCATATTTAATACTAGAAACGTTTAAATATTTATTCTGTTTTCCACCTGATGTACTTTGGCATACATTTAATTTCTAATACACATTTAATTAATAAATTAATAATTATGAGCGTCAGCAGAATTTTCATAATTAACAAAAAAAATAAAAAATAAAAAAAAACTCCCTTATATTCATATCCTGGGATTTTCAGTTCCCTTTTAATCCATTCCTTTTTCACATATTGTTGCACTGTACTCAAGTTTTCATGTATGTAAAATTTATATAATTTGTATTGTATTTATGCCAATTTATAATTAAATGATAATTTTTACAAATTCTTGCTTCATAACAGATGTTTCTAACACCTTGGCAAAGCTTAATCTTCAGCATGTAGCTTATTTTCTAACCTATTTTCAGGCTGAATTATTTGTAAAATTAGTTACTTGAAATTATTTATTAACAAAGATGGTCGCTAAATCACGCTAATAATATTTCTAACTGTTGCAATTTATAATGCAACGAGTTCATACGATTTATACTATAATTCATTTATAAAATTTTTTCAGCAGTATTGAAATTAATAGCAGATACTGATAATGTTATACATTTAGATTACAATGATTTAGATTGCCATTGCCTTCTTCACTCATGCTTTTATGCTACTTCCTAATATTTCATAATGGCATACAGGTAAGTTTAAATTTATCATTAAACATGTAAATCTCTAATTCAGCCCACTTTTGTTCTTACGTGTGCTGTATCTTCTATTTTCTTTAATATGTTGTTCAGCCTAATTTCAAAAGGTCTTATGATCAAGCGGAAAAGTCACTAAACATTGGTAGTTCGACCCGAGTTTCTAGTCCCAGTGATCCCCTAGCTCTTTCTTTTTTGTACTTATTTACTTTGTAAAAAAATGTTCAGTTCATGAAGTAAAAATACTTTTAAAATTT